GGGCCCCCGGGCCGGGGGGCGGAGCGGATAACGGTTCCCGGCGCCCGCCCCCTCCGATGGGGGCTGTTGGAGTTTGAGCTTTGCCTTTGTTTGCCCGGAGAGCCGGGCTTTCGGGCGGCTTTGACGCCGCTTCCCAAGAGCCAGCCCCGCCCTTGGATCCCTGGCTCAGCCTGTCTGGGAAGGGCCAAGTGGAAATGTTGAGGCATTTAACAGAAGTTGCCCTTTTTCCATCTGACTCCGGATCATGACACGGCCAGCGCGGAAGGTTAGCAGGGCGGCGGCTAGCGCAGAAGCGGAAGATTCCTTGATCCTCAGATCGTATTCCCAGCCCCTCTGGGCGCCGCACAGGACCCCCACGCCCAGCTAGATGGACTGCCCTTTTCCAAGCCAGCTAATGTTTACCCCCCCCCCCAAAAGCTGGCGGTGCCTTTTTCAGGCATTTGTCTCTCGAGCCCCTCGCTGGATTCCTGCAGGACCCCCGCCCCTCCCAATAGCTGCATGAGTTTGCCAAAAGAGATGTTGCAGCGGCGAAGAAATGCCCTTCCTCCACATTTTTCGCGGGAGGGGGACCTGTGAGTCTGAAACAAACCTTTAAAAAAACAACAAATAGTCCTGCAGGACCTTGGAGATTAACAAAACGTGTCCATGGCATCCTGAGCTTTCGTGGGCATTAAAGTGGGGTGTGCCCAGGAAAACGCATGATGCCATCAGCATGGTTTGTCAGTCTCTAAGGTGCTGCAGGGCTGTTTTAATACAAATTGGGACGTTTCCTTCACTAGAGCCCCTTTGAAACAAAACACAGGACGATGTAGCACTTTAAAGACTAACAAGATGGGGTATTAGATGATGAGCTTTCGTGGGCCGGCTCATCACCTAATAAACCATCTTGTTAGTCCTGTGTTTTGTTTCAGCTACACCAGCCTAACAGGGCTGCATTTCTATCACTAGAGCCCCCTTGGTTATTCCTGGTTGGTTCAGCGCCCCCTGCTGCCCTTTCAGAGCTAACTCCCCCGAAAGCCGGACACACCCTGCAGACACAAATGCAGAGGCGGGACTGCCCTGGGTTTTGCTGCTGCTTCAAAGCTGTCTCCTCTCCCCCTCGCTTCAGATCGTTCCAAGACTTCAGCCAAAATGCTGCTCTTGTTGCTGGGGATCATTGTGCTCCATGTGGCGGTTTTGGTGCTGCTGTTTGTCTCGACCATCGTGAGCGTAAGTACAAACTTGATCCCCTCTCGCTCTTCTCCCTCCTGTCGCTCGTCCCACGGGTGTCTCCAGGACACATGGGGTGGCCAAAAGGACGTTTATCACCTTTCAAGTGAAGGGTTCAGCCTGGTGGTCTCTAGAGCAGTCGTTCTCTCTGCATTCGGGGTCTCCGCACACTTTGTGCACCAAATCACTGCTCTGCTTTGCACTCCTCCAGGGCCAGACCTTAATACAAGGCCCCCTCAAAGAATGAATGTGACCAACCTAGGCTGACACCTATTTTAATATTTTACAGTGCAGGAGATCTGCTGAGCTAGTCAATTCCAGACTAGTTTTCCAAGGGTTAAAAAAAAACCACATTAAAATAATCACAGGATCCCAGATCTGGTTGTGATGCCTATGAAGCCATTAGTGTAGCTTTCCACACCGCTGGAGACAAGTGACTTTTTTTGGAGCTTTGGCCCATTTAAAGAGAATAACCAAAGTCTCCTCTTTATGCAGTTGAGTACAATGTGAAACATTTCCCTTCGAATCTCAGTTCAAATAAAGGTGTGTGTGTAAATGTTCATGCTTGTGCATGCTCTGAGAGAGATACCCGAGACACAAATAACCGCCGGAACCGTAAGAATTCAAAAGAATGAACACACACAAAGTCAAAAGAGTTCACAACAAGAATGAACATGCGCAGCTCTGTAGGATTCCTCACCAGCGCATGTGGTGGAGCACAAGTTTGTGTTTTGCTTTGGGGACGGCGCCCGGCCTCCCCCTGGCCTTCGCTGCTGTGACTTGCCGGCGCCTCTTACCAGTTTGTGTGTCTTTTTCAGCAATGGTTCATCGCTAACGGGCGTACGGCAGACCTCTGGCAGAACTGCAGCACTCTAGGCGTCTCGAGTTCCTTTCAGTGTATACCATCCTCCACGAACGGTGAGTGCCCTGACGTCTCGTCTGGTTCCTCAGAAAGGGGGAGTTCGCCCCGTTAACGCCTCCCCCAAACCTTTAGCGACGGCCACGTATTGCAGAGAAATCTCTGCAGCCTCTGTCTGGTACAAGTCCAGCCTTCTCCACTGAGGGGTTTGGTTCTGTCCCTCAGGTGAGGGGCTCAGTTACTATAGTTGCTCCAGGAGGTTGATGGTACAGTTTCTGGAGTACAGGCCCTGGGGAGGAGCGGAAGAATCAGGCCTGAAGTGAAGATGCAGAGGGAGGGCGAGGAATGTAGCTCGTTTAATGCCCTTTTCTTCACGGGTCTTCTGGACTGCTCCTTATCTTTATCTGAAGGGCACACCTCCCCCGCTTGGCTGGGCCTCTGTCCGTCCAGCACCTCGCTGCAGGCTAGAAAGCCAGGGCTTGGTGCACGGAGGCCCAGCACCTTGTGCACTGATGGGGAAGGCGGCATGAGCTGCCGTGCGATGGAGGATCAGGCCCACGGGGCCAGATCCTGGGACCATCTGTGCACATGTGAGTTCTCAGATGCCTGTGACCTCAGTGTGAGCCAAGAGCAGAGCCCTTGAGGTCTGGGGAGGTACTTTAGCCTTACGTGGCTGTAATGGAGCAGATTTTGGGCCGCTGAACTACTAGCGGAGGAGGAGCCCTTGGTCCGGTCCTGTTGCCTGCCTTGCCTACATCTGGTCTGTGGTATATGGACAGTGGTCTCACCTGCAGCGGGACTGACCCCATGTGACCTCTTTGGCATGTGCTCCTTGCAGTTCTTACTAGGCGGTACCTAGATCCCCAAACATGGGCAGCCCTTGGGGTAGGGCTCTTTCCTGCTCCCCCACGGGCGTGGTAGCTCCTCTAGGCATGCTTCTTGTTTGCTCAACGGGGGAGGGTGTTAAAGGGCCAGAGCAGATTTGCTCCATGAAGAACATCTGCTGGGTCCTTGTGGCAGCCAGTCCCGCTTGTTTTTATAGGGCCTGCCTCTGTGCATATTGCTCAGCAGCCAGGAGAGATCTCCACCATTCCTGTCTGCCCATGGTTAGTGGCCACTCCCGGGATGGGTCCCAGCACCCAGTCATGGTGTGAGCTAGTGCTCCGGATGGTCGCTTATCCTGTGGAGGTGGAAGGAGTTTGAGGACTGTTGACGTTGCAGATTTTCCCTGCTCCGTCTCTGCTATACCAGGGTTTGCTGTCTGCATAGGCCCCCGTCCCTGCAGTTTCCTGAGCCGGGTGGCTTTGCGAGAGCCAAGCATGCAAAAACTTCCCACTCCTCAGCCAGGGTGGGCTAGCCCAGCTCTCCGTACATCGGCCTTTGCGATAAAGGGATGAATGGCGCCTCTGTCACTTTCCCAAAGTCTCTCTCCAGACTTGCGCCGCAGTAAGCCATGCTGCTGTAGTTATCCTGATATGCTTGGCTATTTCTGTAGCACGTGCATGGGGGAAAGCACGCTGGATACCACACTGGACTCAGGCTCAGGGTACTGCATTCTTGTGCTGGCACACTGAATGGTCTTGCACTGGCCACTTCACCTCTGTGCTTCAGTTTCCCCATCTCTAAATGCAGCATCCTGACTTCCTTTATAAACTGCTTTGATGCAAAGTGCAATGTAAGAGCTAAGGACAAATACCTGGACAATGTGTTTAGTTGAGCAATTGGTAGGGGGCTTTGTTACTGGCATTACTTAGCTTTAGCAATTTGCACCGTAAGCAGTTTGAACCCAGCATAACCCCAGCGAGTTCAGTGGAGTCACACTGTTGTCAATCAGGAGTAACAGAGTCGAATCTCGTCTCTGGTCTGTGAGCGTCACTGTGAACTGCTGTTTCTGCAATGCCAAGAAGGGGGAAGGACTGTAAGATCGAGTGCCTAGATTGAACGTAACACTGATGCCAGGGCAGGAGGGGTGCATTCGCCATGTGGAGGAGAGCATTGTGGGTAATGCGTGCAGGGAGTTTAGCAAGTTCTTATCAGTTTCCACTTTGCAGCAAAGCAAGTCTTTAATTTGCTAGCTGAATTTTTCTGGACAAACTAGCCAGGCGGCGGGTAATGAAATACTCGTGGGTACTCCGTGATGGGAGATAAATGCAGGCGCTTGCCCTGCCTCTAATTTTAACTGTACTCAACGCAGCACCATGTTTCTCATCTTGGGCAGAGGCTCAAATTTCCAGGCTTCTGGTAGAGTGGCTTTCGGCCGCCTTCACAGCCTTCTAGCAACACCTAGTGGACACGGGTCAGACTGTCTGTGGAACCCGGCTGGAATCTTCTGTTACAGCGCGACAGATTACCATCGCTATGTCCTGAATCAGCATTTGGCAGTGTAAGGCAAATACTGCCAATCTGCAAAGTAGGCAGGCTGGTTCAGATTCACTCATGTGTGCTCAAAACCGGCTGTGCGTGTGCTTAGATAAGGGCAGCAGTAACTGCTCCCTGAAACTTTTTTTGTAAAAAAAGGGGGGGGGGTGGAATTGTCACCCCTCAAATGTGCCTCTGACTTCAGATAACTGGATTACTACAAATTTCAAGGTGAAATTTCCTGGACACTTTCTATAAGGCATAAAATAACCAGGTAAATCTTCCCCGCAGCAAGAATGTCAGGAGGTTTTTGAAGGGGGAACTCTTTAGCTATGTGCATGCAGCCCGAATGCTGCTGGCGCTAGTGGAATAAATTCCACACCTGGATTCACCGATTTATTTGTGCTGTTCAAGGCAAACGATTGAGCAGCCGATTTAGAAATGTGACTGGATGCTGCCACTTGGCTTGCAGGGTTGCAGGACGTGCGCATGTATAACGGTGTTTCTGCCCAGCTGCTCCATTCTCTCCATTCACCGAGCCAGCGGAATGGTGAAATCTGAGCTACTTTGAGGAGCTATCACCCAAACCCACTCAAACGAGGAACATTCCCCAAATGGCCTTTGTCAGCCTGGACACTCGGGTCCTGTGAGGCGCTCCATGCTCCTGGAGCCTTGCAAAATAGGGATGTTAAACAGTTATCTGGTAAGCATGCCAGGACCGGGGGCCAGGCAGTGGGGCCAGGTGGGTTTTAACTGGTTAATTGCTTTTATATCCCTAAGGCAAAACCCCTGAGAAGCCAGTGTGCTTTTGCATGGGGCAAAGGTGGTCTGACTACACCCATGTCTTTGCAGGATTAGGGCTTTATGCCTTAACTAAATTACTCTGTAGAATGGTAGCTCTGAGAACCCACTCTCACGAGCCAGCAACCTCTCCCCACTCCCCGGTGCTGTTGACTGCACAAACACACAACAAAAAGACCTGGGCAGCAGGCCATCTCACTCCTGCAGTTGTTTCCCATTTTCCCGAGACTGGTCTGTTTTTTCAGTAGAGAACATTGTGTGTGTGTGTGTTTGTTTTTGTGTCAAGTAAGCTAATGTAGCCCCCACTCCCGTAGTCTGAGTACCTCACCTGCTTGGCAGTGTTCACCCTCCCAGTCCTGCCGTGAGGTAGGGCCATGCTGTTATTTCCACCACCTGGATTAGTGGTTCCACTAAGCAGAGACACCAGGGTACGTCTTTACTACGTTTCTCTTTCAAAAGGAGATATGCAGATTCGGTGCTAATTTGCATATCTTCTTCCGATTGCTTTTTCTAAAGCAGTTTTTTTCGAAAGTGAAAGCAGTTTAGACAGTTCTTTAGGGGAAAAAACCCTCTTTTTTCGAAAGACCCTGTAAACCTCAATTTTTGAGGAAAACGGTTCTTTCAAAAAGGTTTTTTTTTAAAAGAACCGCATCTAAACTGCTTTCACGTTTGAAAAAATGATCAGAAGATATTCAAATTAGTGCCAAATTTGTTTTTCACGTTCGAAAAAATGATCAGAAGATATTCAAATTAGTGCCAAATTTGTATATTTCCTTTCAAAAGAAAAACGTAGTCTAGATGTACTAAGTGATTTGCCCTGGGTAACACAGGAAATCTGTGGCAGAGCAGGGAAGTGAAGTGAGACTAGATCTCAAGTCTAGGCTGGGCACATAGCTGCTGGGTAACTCCCTCCCTCACCCCCCCCCCTATCCCCCTAAGGAGTAAGACTCTAAGCCCTGACCTTCACTAGTATTTTGAAATAGCCCCTCCTCCCCCCAGGTCAAATTTATAAGCAGAGTATCCACACTACCAAGCTCGTTATTTTGAAATAACAGGCCTGCTTTTCATCAGGAGTGATGCTAATTCGAAAATGGTTATTTTGAAATAACAGTGATGTGGACGCTCCAGTGCTGCTATTTCAAAATAACTACTCCCCAGAGTAATTCCAACTAACTACTCCCCAATGCTTCCTGGAGCTCTAAGTTTGAGGTAGAATATCCACATTAACGGAGCCTGCCTCGGACTCATTTCAAGGCTTCCCCGTAGTGTGGACGTGCTAGTTCAATTTTGTTAAATCAGGAGTTAAGTCGAATTTACTAATTTTGAAATTGTTTCCTGGTGTAGATGTGGCCTAAACGCTGGTTCTTTTGGGGTGGTAAATCACATTAACTCCTCCTCAAATGGGCTGTGTCTAGAATGGCAAGTTTTTCTGCAAAAGCAGCTGCTTTTGGGGAAAAACTTGCCAGCTGTCTACACTGGCCGTTTGAATTTCCTCAAGAACACTGACTTCCTACTGTCTGAAATCAGTGCTTCTTGCGGAAATACTATGCTGCTCCCGTTCGGGCAAAAGTCCTTTTGCGCAAAAGGGCCAGTGTAGACAGCTCAGATTTGTTTTCCGCAAAAAAGCCCCGATCGCGAAAATGGCGATCGGGGCTTTTTTGCGGAAAAGTGCGTCTAGATTGGCACAGACGCTTTTCCGCAAAAAGTGCTTTTACGGAAAAGCATCCGTGCCAATCTAGACACTCTTTTCCGCAAATGCTTTTAACGGAAAACTTTTCCATTAAAAGCATTTGTGGAAAATCATGCCAGTCTAGATGTAGCCATGTAGTTTCAAGTTTATCATTTATAGTACTGCCATCTGCTGGGCTGTTAGCTGAATGTACACTTGCTTCCTATGGGA